AGATCGCACTCCCCACTGCACCGTGTCGCCATAGCCACACCCACACTCTGCGCTCTGAGAGATGCACTCGCACTCTATGCGAGTTGCGACTTTCTCGCGCCACCGCCCACCCTACGGCTGTGTGAGCAGCTCCCGGCGGGACCTCGAGGGACTGCACGCGCGCCCGCGCGGCGCGGGGCCCAGGGGCCCAGCCCACAGCCACGATCGCTCACAAGAGAACGCACCCCACAGTACGAGAGACCCTTCCCCATGGCTGCCACTGCGCCAGCTGTCCTTGCGCGCGGGCTAGGCCGCCTCCCGCGCCCTGGCCCTCGCAGCGGCAACTGACGCGCGCCTCGCCTTGGCTGCGGCGAGCGCCGCCTCTGCCGCCGCCGCTGCCGCCTCGGCCGCCGCTACTGCCGCCTCGGCCGCCTCCTCCGCCTCCTCCTCCGCTGCGGCAGCCTCCTCCTCTTCTGCCGCTGCCACAGCCGCAGCCTCCGCCTCAGCCTGCCGGCGCGCCTCCGCTGCCGCCTCCGCTGCCGCCTCCTCGCCCTCCTCCTCGCCCTCCTCCTCGGCCGCCTCCGCCGTCTCCTCGTCGCCCTCCTCCTCGCCCGCCTCGCCCGCCGCCTCTCCCAGCGCCTCCGCCAATCCCGCGACTGACGTCTCCGGCGTGATGCCGAACCGGATCCTGTCCTCGTGGAGCTCCGCGAGAAGCCGGAGCAGCCCCTCCCTGTCCAACGGCGCGGGCTTGGCTGCCGCTGCCTCTGCCGGCGCCTCGGCCTCCTGCGACGGCCCAGCGCCGCCGCTCCCGCCGCCCTTCTTCTTCTTCTTCTTGCCCTTCTTGCCCTTGGCGCGCTTCTCCGCCTCGACCTCCGCCAGCAGCTCCTTGGCATGCCGCGCCGCCTCCGCCTCCGCCGCCGCCCGCTCCGCCGCCCTCTCCGCCGCCCCCGCAGCCCACGCTGCCTCCTTCGCCGCCTTCTCGGCCGCCGCCTTGGCCGCCGCATGCTCCCCGAGGGCGCGCACGCACTCGGCGTGGCCCTCCTCCTTGGCCCATTGCAGCGCGGTCTTGCTTCGCTTGCACAGCGTCATGTCCGCGCCCGCCCGCAGCAGCTGACGCACGACGGCGGGGTGGCCGAACAAGGCGGCGAGAATCAGAGCGGTGCAGCCGTCGCTGTCCCGGAGGTTGATCTCCGCGCCGTGCCGGATCAGCGTCTCGACAACCCGCTCGCGGCCTTGGTAGGCGGCTTCCATCAGCGCAGTGAAGCCGTTGCTGAACTTCTGGTCGATCTCCGCGCCGTGCTGCAATGCCAGCTCGGCCAGCTTCTTGTGGCCGTTCACTGCGGCGAGACCCAACGCGGTGCCACCGTCGCTCTTCTGCAACGAGACATCCGCGCCGCGCCGCAGAAGCGCCTCGGCCAGCTCCGCGTGGCCCTCAACCATTGCGACCATCAGCAGCGTCATGCCGCTCGCACACGAGCCGCAACCAAAGGTGTACTCGAACGTCGTGTCGACCCGCCCGCCGCCGTCGAGCCACGCCAGCACCGGCGCCTCGTCGTCTCGCACAGCCGCAAGCACGACCTCCTTTGGCACCGTCCCACCGCTCGGCTCGGCCTCCACGCCGCCCTCGCCGCTCGAGGCAGAGGCCGCAGCACTGGCGCCTGCCATCGCCTCGCCTGCGGGTGCGCCGTTCGCCCCTGCGCCGCTCGCCTCGGCCGCCGGCGCCGTGCTCCGGCCCGCCACCTCGCCGAGATACGTCCTGACGGCGGCGACGCACTCGGCGTGGCCCCTCTGGTTGGCCATTTGCAGCGCCGTCTTGCCCGCCGCAGTGCGCAGTGTCATGTCCGCGCCCGCGCGCAGCAGGCGGAGCACGACGGCAGGGCGGCCGATGCAGGCGGCGCCCGTGAGCGCAGTGTGGCCGTTGCGGGCTTGAAGGTCGATCTCCGCCCCGTGCTGAATCAGCATCTCGGCCACCTGCTCGTGGCCGTTGGCGGCGGCCATCATCAGCGCGGTGCTGCCTGCGCTGTTCTGCAGGTTGATCTCTACGCCGTGCCGCAGCAGCATCTCGGCCACGCGCTCGTGGCCCCAGCGGGCGGCGGCCATCAGCGCCGTATAGCCTTTGCCGTCGCGCGCGTCCGCCTCCGCGCCGCGCTTCAGCAGCAGTTCGATAATCTCTTTGTGACCGTGTTCGGCGGCGATCATCAGGAGCGTACAGCCACTCACACCGCCACGCACGCACGTCGCGTCAACCCGCCCAGCCCCGCTGAGCCACGTCTGCACCACGTCGACCTTGCCCTTCTCCGCCGCCGCCTCGATCCTTTTCGGCAGCACGAGCGCCGCAGCAGTAGCCGCCGTTGACGCGTGCCCGCGCCGGGACGCGGCCGAGCCAGCCTTCGTTCGGCCGGGCATGCAAAGGGGGCGGGGTTGCGGGTGCGCAGCGCGCCTCTCTCTTCTCCACCTCCCGCCGGGCTTCGAAAAAAGAATGAACATTTTTCTATGTCGTCACACTCGCGGTCGCGTGCATGCGGACAGGCGTCCGAGCACGCGACACGAGCTCCCGGGTGTGTCAACACGCTTGTTACCCGAACGGGAGGTGGCATCGCATTTCGGCTGATATCACCGCCACCGCCCTCGCTGCAGCTGGCGTGGAGGGCCTCCTCCCCGCCCGCTCGATCGCGGCTTTCGAGCTCTCCAACTCGGTCGACCGTCGCCGCCGACGGGATCTCTACCAGAGATTGGCCGCGAGAAGACGCGAGAGATGGACCCGAGAAGCCGAGATTACGGCTTTTTAGAGGTCGGGAGACGTCGCCGCCGACCGGAAAGGGAAACCCCTGTTTCTGTGTGTGTCGCGCGCCTTGGTGGTGGGGGTGGGGGGAGGGGGGGGGGGGGGGGGAGAAGAGAGGTGCTCTCTCCCCGTGCCCGTTCACTGGTGGATTCAGGCCCTTTTGTCGTTTAGGTGATACATACCACGCTGGCCTGTGCGCTGGTGAGGCTTAAAGATTGTGTCGGTACGGCGCAGCTCGACTGAGGTACTAAGGCCGCACTAGCGCAGCTCTGACTAAGCTAAGGTACTTACTACACGTAAGGCCGCGCTGAGGCGCCGCACTAAGGTGTGGGAGGGCGCACTAGGCGCCGCGGCTGCTCTCCGCCGCAGGCCCACCAGCTGCTTAAAGGCCGGTGCTAGAGGCAGAGGCGAGGCCGTCGTCACAGCCCGTTCCGGTGGAGGAAGTCGAGCATGACCTCCGATCCCTCGTTCTGGAAGTAGTTGTAGCCCTGCGACCGATTGTTCGTGGAGGTCCTGAAGGGCGGGGGCGCGCTGGTCCCGATGGCGTGGAATTCGCAGTTCGGGAATGACTTGAGGATCTCGGGTGCGTCGACGCGCTGGTTGGGCACGAAGTCCTCAAGTGGGGTGCAATACAGGACCGGGACCTTGACCTTCGAAGCGTACGTCGTCGCGCACAACTGCTTGACGCACAGGTCGATGTTCGGGTCCTCCTGAATCGTGCCTGCGGCGATGTACTGCGCGTGCTTTGCGCGCAGCGCGCTGTCCAATGTCTCCTCGTTGATGTACTGGAAGCTCCCGCCGCCGCTCATGAAGAAGGTGTGGAAGGCCGGGTTCTCGAGGTACATATTCTTCAGCGTGAACAGGTTTGTCGCGACCATGGCGACGACGTTCTTGAACTTTTCAGGGTGCAGTGCGTTCGCCTTGAGCATCGCCTGCCCCGCCACGCAGAATGGGAAGAGCGCCACCTTGCAGCGACTCAGCACAGGATGCGCGTTGACGTAGTCCAGGGCGCCGGCGGCGTCCATGTACTCGACGACCCCCCAGCCAGAAGGCAGGCGGCGCTCCGAGTCGCCGTGGTTGCGCATGTCGAAGGCGAGCACATGAAACCCGTCATCGTGCAGCACCTTGTGCAGCTTGACATAGTCGATTGCCTCTTGCTTCATCGTGCCGGGTAGCCCGGGCAGCACTGGCATGCGGAGTTCGACCATGCCCGACTTGTTCGCGTATGACCTGGTCGGCAGGGAGCACCACAACGGTGAGGCGGTATAGCGCGCGATGCGAGCAGCCTAGGGCACGGTGCGCAGGCGCGGGAGGCGGTCACCATGACTGGTGCGAGACGACTGCGACCTTCTTCGACCCCTTTTCCTTTGCGGGAATGTACCACGCGGCGATCTGGCAGCCGTCGGTCGCCGGGAAAGACACCTCCTCGTACGCCATGCCATAGTCTTTCGGCGTGCGGACCATGGATTTCGAGATATCATTGGCATGGGGTGCGTCCGTAAACGTCGCGGCAACCCACGCTGCAAGGCCGGCAGAGGCCATCAACTTCTGATAGAAGCTGGTCTCCGGAGTCTTCGAAGGCGTGGCTTCAGCCGGCTCGGGCGCGCACATAGTTTGCCGCCAGCCCAAGCCGCCGAGCACCACGGCCCCGCCCCGGACAAGCGTCCGCGAAGAGCGCAGCATTGCGAGGCGTTCTTCCTGCAGAGAAAGCGCCGGGAGCCGGCTATCGTCGCCAGGCAATCGTCGCCCAGCTATCGTCGCCAAGCCGTCGCCCAGTTCGCCCAGGCTAAAAGAATTTTACAACACTTTGCTGTTTTCTTTCTTTCTTCGACCGTCAGGGGCTACTGCGACCCCGAGGTGCCCCCGGGTCGCCCCCAAAGGCCTCCGTAGTTAAAGAGCACTATTTGGGTGGGCCAGAGACCCTCACTTAGCCACCTCATAGGGTACCCTGAGGCTTTCGCACCAGAATATTTTTGAAGAAGAAAATATATATAAACGAAAAATATGAAAATAAAAATAATATGCTACATGCGCGTTCTTTACATACTAAAACAAAGGGCAGCAACAGCCCCTACCCTCCCCAGACAGGCGGGTCCAAGGTAGATGACTCACGCACACAACGAGACGAGCGCGCTGTTCACCAACTCTGTACCCCGCTTACCGCGTCCTAGTTTGGACGCACTCGGCGCGAGGGCGGTGCCGAGGCGGCGGACAGCCTAGGCTAGACGGCCCGCCACCCTGGCTAGGAGCAGTGGTGGTACGCGGAGGCTGGCAGGCAGGCACACATCGCATCGCGCGGTCCCATCCCGCCCCGCCGCCCGCCTAACGGAGCGTGCCAACGCCTCCCGAGTGGCAGTGTTAGATCGTTCTAACACCTCTGCGGCTGTGGTGTTAGCCGTTAACGTGCCAACACCGTTCTAACGTTAGTCCACTAGCCCTGGTTTACGCGCGCAAGTCGAGCGCGCAAGGCTCACAAAGAACGTCTCGTGCGGACGTCGGCGACGTCGCCCCGTGGGACTCCGGAGTGGGTGCCCTCGTCCGGGTATTAATCATCGGGCGGCGGCGCAACACGCGCCCCGCTTCAAAAAAGAATTCGGGTCGGCAACGGGCGCGCACTGACACTAAAACAGGTTAAAAAGACATCTCAGGCCGTATATCAGAGGTACACCAGGGCCTAATATGCCTCTCTCCTGCGAGGGCCGCGGCGAGGCACTTAGCTCCGTGCACTCCTCTCGTCCGCCCTCGCCGCAGGCGAGCTCATTCATTCCTCATTATTGACGACTGCTCCGCGCGTGTCACGCAGGGTGCTGGCTGTGTGATATACGCTCGAGGTGATACGACATACGTGTTGCTTCTGCACTGCCCCAGCCCCGGCCGCCCCCCACCCCCAGGCCCCAGCCTGCAGCCCGAATTCTTGGTGGTCGCCACAACGCACAAGTCACCTCGTCGAGGCACTGGGCCTGCGGGTCAGCTTGTTCCCGTTCTTCGTCTCTCTGCAGAGCACATTCTCGCCAACACGCGTGGCGGGGTGTGGCGGGCGCTCATGCCGCCTAATCTCTCCTGCTCGGGGGGGGACTTCTTCCGTGAAAATATATGAGAGAGATAAGTAGAGAGATTGCCCGGTCGTTTTGGGCTGTTGCCGGCCGCTTAGCTGGGAGTCCAATGGCGCAGAGCCGCGCAGTCCTGCGAGCAGTCAAAGTGTGGCGCCACAGCCGTGCCACAGTTGATGATCGGTCTCGACGGGTCACATTTGCACGGAGCTTGGGCGTGGGTGCCCGTCCGCGTCTCGACGGGCAGGCACGCGCCTCGCACGGGCTCTGCGGTGCAGCCTGTGCACAGCAGTAGCTCTGCCCGGCGCAGCCCCCCGCGACCACGCATGATCTGGATCGAGTCGTACCCTCTCGCCATGGCTCGCGTACAGTACAGCTTGTCGCCGGGGTGGTAGCAGCCAAAGTTGCTTCGCGAGCACGGGATGCCAAGCGCTGTATGGGCGTCGCGCCGCGTGCTGACCACGAGGGTGCGCCCGACATTGACAAAGACACCCGAGCCGCGAGCGGGGAAGAGCCAGCAACCGTATGGGAAAAGGTCGGCGCTCGAGTTGGTCGCCTCCGGTGCAAAGCCGTAGTCGCCTCGGTGGACGCCCTCTCCGATGTCGTCGGGAAAGCCGCGGGAAGCTCCCTCGGCAAACGGTGTGCCATCGGGATAGCGGAGGCCGAGGCAGTCGGCCGCCACTCGCGTCACTTCGACCCAGCTGTGGTTGCGGCGCGCGGCGCGCGATGGGTGCATCAACATCCCCAGAACCTGCCTGCCGACATTCTCTGGTGATGCCGTGGCGCTAAAGGATGTGACGAGAGCGGTGAGTGCCACCGCCGGATCGCCATTGCCGCTGCACAATGCCTGCTGCGCCGATGCCGGGAGGCACGGTCTGCCCGCCGGGTCCACCCCATCCTCAGTGGGCGGGAAGCAAGTGAAGGGAGGCGGCCGCTCGAGCTTGTCCGTGGCAAGCGGCCAGTATAGCATCTCGAGTCGCTGGAAGAAGGAGGGGTCGGACCCCACGCCGGCTCCTCTCCCGCCCCCGTACACCTCAGCGAAGTATTCGGACCACCCGTCCCCGCTCTTCTGAAGCACGCCCGAGGCGTCCTCCTGCCCTCGGGGGCGACCTGTCTGACGGCTCTCAGCTTGCTCGCTTCTGGTCGCACACTCTAGGCGCTTGGCCATATTGCGCGAGCACCAGCTCAGCTCCTCAGCCGCGCCAGCTTGGCCAGCTGCCTCGCAAGCACGCCGCGCCCCAGTCAGGCCTGCGAGTGCGATGCTTGTTCTGCGTGCCATCTGATCAAGGCGCACCGCCGGATCGCTACTACTGTTGCTGCCTCGACGGTGATGTGCAAGGTTGTACTGCGCACCCCGCGCCTCGCGGCACCAGTCGTCGATGGCGCCGTAGAGGCGCTGCGGTTTGCAGCAGCCAGAGTTAAAATGGTAGATGAAGCTTGGCTTCGGCGCGAGCCCAGACCTAGGCGCTCTCTGGTGCCAGAAGAGCCAAGTCAGGATGCCCTGGTCGGTCTCGGCGCCAAAAAAGGTCCAGGGGGGTTGCAAGGCGTCGTTGCTGAGAGCGACGCTGCTGTGGCGACCAAAATTGAGGCGACCAAAATCGCGGCGCGGCGGCGGTGTCGCGCCGAGCTGCATGGTGCGGTTCACAAAGCTGAGCGATGCATTACCAGACCCGCCCCAGCCCTCAGCTGCCCCGCGAAAGCCATAGATGAGGCCGCCCATCAGCTGAAGGTAGACCTCGAGGCTCGGCCTGAGCACGAAGAACCCGCCTTGAGTGCATACATAGCCGCGAGGCGTCTTGCACATTGGCTCGTGGAAAAACACATTCTCTAGGCCAGAGGCAAGAAACTCGGAGACGGCCAGCTCGAACTTTCGGAAATGGCTAGCGTCCGGCTTGATGTAGACGTCGGTGTCGAAGAATACCGCCACGTCGTACTCGGCGAACCTCCAAGGCTCCACCAGGTAGAGCTCGGCGACGATGGCGGCGTCATTGAACTCCACGCTGGGGTTAGGACCAGAGCTGTTGCAAACGCTCTTGGGGATGGCATGTGTGCGGATGCTCGCCGGCCCAGAAGTTGTCTGGGAGAGGCACAGGGCTTGCCGCTGCCCCCTGCCAACTCTATGCGTCCGCGCGCCCACGCCCTGCAGCGCTGCAATTTCATCGTCACTCTGCCTGTCGTCGTGGATCACAACAATCTCAAAGTGGTGACTCGGCGACTGCAACGACAAGTTGCGATGGAGGGCGACCCACGCCAGCGCCGCGCCGCACGAATAGCCCCGCCGGCTCTCTTCTTCTACGCCCGGTCTCGATTTCGTGAGCACCGAGTAGCTGATCATCAACGCCACGGCTGGCATTGTGCGATTCGCAGGAGTGGGCGCCATAGCGGCCGCGACTGTCTGCGAAACTGCCGTGCGCTCCGAACCTCCGCAGAGGATGTTATCGGACACGCAGCTGCTCATGGCTCGTGCAACCTCGTCCCAACCAGTCCAGCGCCTGCCTTGCAGTGTCTGTTCTGCGCTGTCGGCAATGCAGAAGTCGAGGGCTGAGTGGGATCTGCAGCGGCTCGCAGATGGGACTCCCAGTGACAAAAGTGACGCCATGCAGCTTTGCACAGCCGACACAGATTGCGTGGAGATGCCTACTCGAGGCCCCGGCGCGCATTACCAGAGACGCGCGCTTGCGCGCCCGCCGAAAAAGAGAAAAAATCGACCGCAATCACGCGCCCGATCTGCGATCTTGCGCGGTATCCTCGGACCGGACCGCGGCGATAATTCTTTTCCAACCGCATATTAACAATCGTAACCGTTGGTAGCCCCCCCCCCCCCCCCCGCCGACAACGACTGAGACTGAGTCTCGCTCACAGCTCACGTATCACTCTTGCGGTCATGCTGACAGCTCGACATGCAGACGAGGTTCTGCCCTGCAGCAAGCCGCGCGACCACCGAGCCGGCCGCGACCTCCAGTCTCATCTCAGTGGGTGGCGAAGATACGGGCGCAAAGCCGAGCCGCTCGTAAAAGGGCTGCGTTCGCTGCAGCGTGACAAGGTACAGCGGCTTGCTCGAATCGGCACCGCTGCGGTGGCGCGCCAGCAGCTTTGCAGCAAGCATAGTGCCGACGCCGAGCCCTCGGTACCGCGGCTCGACGACGAGAGATGCGAGCTCGGAGGCATCGGAGCCGAGCGGCCGTATCTGACCAAAGGCTGCAATGCCGTTGGGCTCGTCCCACGCCACGAGGAAGCGCTCTGGGTCCACGGACAGTGGGTTCATTCGCTCACGGACCAGCCGCGAGAGCAGCACTGGCGCCTCCGACGGCGCCGCCGGCCGCACAGCCAGCGCTCGCAAGTCCCACAACGCTGCGGCGGCGAGCGGCCAGTGCAGGAGCACGAGCGCGGTGCCGAGAGGGCTCATTGTGGTTCAGCAGAGCCGAGCGCGCGAGAGGAGAGAGCTGGAGAGAACTTGCCAAGTTGTTGGTGGTGGTTGGTGTCGCCGCGAGTCAGATTTCTTTTTCCAGTGTGAAGTGACTTCCAGACTCGAGAATATAATACCTAACAAGAAGCTCGTGTTCCTGCGCCAAGATACTTTCTTCTTTCGTGACCGCCGCTGATCGCCGTGCGACGCCATCAAGAGGCGGCCCCTGCTCCATCGTGCGAGGCAGCCAGAGCACAGCTTCTCTCGGCCCGGGCTCGGTGACGACATCATGGTGAACTGGTTCCAACCGCCGCTCCAGACGAAGGTCGAGTACAGACAGGGCGACACGATCATCGCCGTGCCTGCCAAGAGCGGCACGACTTGGACCATGAACATTTTTCACCAGCTGAAGACGGGCGGCGATCCGGACTTTAAGGACATCTACGCCGAGGTGCCGTGGTCCGAGTTTAAGGAGGGTCCGGACCAGCCCGACGAGGAGCTCCTCGAGCGCTGGAAGAAGATGCCCGCCGACGTGCCACGCGCCTTCAAGACGCACTCATCGCCCGGACCTGAGGGCACGCCGGTGCCCGAGATGGGGTGCTTCGCCACCTACCGTGAGGACCTGAAGTACATCGTGGTGATGCGCAACCCGGAGGAGGCGATCGTCTCCTTCAAGCCGTTCATCGAGTCGCACAACCCAAAGGCGTTCGAGTACTGGGGCGAGCCGGAGATGCGCGAGAAGTTCCTGAAGCCGACGTTCCAGGCCTTCTTCGACGAGTGCGTGCTGCCCGGCTTCCCAAACATGCCGCCGGAGATCGTGCCGCCGGGTGGGCTGCTGACGATGCTCTTCTTCGGCTTCGTCAACGGCTGGTGGCCGCTCCGCAACAAGCCCAACGTGCTCTTCCTGCACTTCTCCGAGATGAAGGCGGACCACGAGGGGAGCGTGCGCAAGATCGCGAAGCACCTGGGCTTCGAGCCCACGGAGGAGCAGTGGCCGAAGATCCTCGAGTACACGAGCTTCGCGTGGATGAAGGAGAACGAGGCCAAGTTCGAGGTTGGCACGCTGATGCCCTTCCCATTCATCCTCCCGGGCGGGATGGTGCGCAAGGGCGCGCAGGGCAAGGCGGCCGAGGACGGCATGTCGCCCGAGATCCAGGCGGTCATCAAGGACTGGGCCGAGAAGATGGTGCCGGACGAGGCGGCGCGCAAGTGGCTCTTTGAGGGTGGCGCGCTGCCCCCCTAGGGCTATGGTCCCTCGAGTGGTCTCAGGGGCGTCTCGTGTTGGACCCTTCTTCCTCTTCCTGCTGCAACAACATGAGGCCAACTGCGTTGGCATCGACCTCGGCTGGATGTCTGAGAAGCGGCCCTGCGTCATCGCGCACTGGGAGGCCACAAGCGACAAGCCACTCGAGACCAGCCTACCTCGCGGCACGGGGTTTCGCCCTGGCGGCGAAGTCTCGGCCTTGGATAGATAGATAGTAGCGGCCCATTCGCGGCTGTATGCTGAGGCCCTTCACACTGTAACGTTCGGCCTGATGTTTGTGTCACTCGCTTGTTTACGGTGTGTTGTGTGGGCTGCGCCCAGGACGCATGTGGCATGACGGGCGGCGCAGGCTGTCCCTGCTCCCTCACAGGCGCAGGGCGGCTTAATCGGTTAATCGTCCTTAAACACCTCAGCTGACAGCTCACGGGAGGGGGAGGGGGAGAAAATAGCTCTTCAGAGCTCGCGCTCCACCCTCCACCCTCCACTTCACAATCACATTTTCGCACACATGACAAAACACAAATGACAAAACTCTCTACTCTCTTCACACACGAGAATCACACGCAATTCACATGCCGGTCCTCGAGTGCCCCGGTCACCACATGCCACTCTCGGCTCTCGCCAGCCAGGGCGGGGCGTCACAGGCTAGCAACACACCTTCCATCCTTCCTTCCCGTGAAATCCTTGTGTGTGTGGTGGCTGCGTGGCGCCGTGCCGTCCAGCGTCCTCCCATCCCTCATATGTTTTTTCTGTTTTCTTTCTTTCAGAAGAATTTTACAACACAGCCCTGCACAAACCCTGTCAGCAGAGTCCTCCTACGGGAATGTACGTAAGTAAGAGCTACATACACTGACAAAGAAGAATGTGTTAGGTATGTTGTTAAGAAGAATCGTCTCTCTCACACGCATACAACAAAACAAATCTTTCCCATAGCGCATACGACGAGATGACGAGGTCACGCGTGAGTGAGTGAGTGAGTGAGTGTGATGAGTGTGTGTGTATACACACACACACACACACACGAGGTCACGCGCGCTACGGTGAAATCTTCTTTCGTTATTTTTGAACCGTGACATTTCGGCCGCCGGGCCCAACGCGGCGATTGTCCTGAACAAGGCAGGCAGAAGGATCTGACGAGTCCAGAACAGCATGGCTCTTCTCCTCGCCACCCTCGGTGCTCAACCTTCTGTGGCCTCTCCCCACCTCTCCAACGGTGTTGCGCAGCTCAGCCAAGCGCCACGCATCTGGCTCGTCAACGACTTCCTCGACAAAGCCGAGGTGCAACTCGCCCGCAATCACTGGTCCGCTCCACTGCCCACGTTAACGCCACTCCCACTCGCTTGTTCAGGTCTCCTACCTCAGGGGGCTCGCAGACGCCACCCAGTTTGGCGCGTGCGAGAACCAGCGCGTCCTCAACAAGAACAGGGGCAAGGCGTGCGCCCAGCTCAAAATCAGCTCCTCAACCCCGGTCCTCGACCGGCTCGCAAAGCTCTGGCACGTCGATACCTCGCACATCGAGTCACTGGCTGCCGTCCGTTACTCTCCGGGCTCCTCTCCCTCCGCGGCCCACGTCGACCGCTACTCCGACGGGACTCCCGCCGACATGACCATCGTCGTCTATCTCACGGACGCCGCGCCGGAAGAGGCGGGCCACACCAACTTCCCTTACGCGGGTGCCGCGCCGCTCTCGGTGGCGCCCAAGGCGGGCTCTCTCCTCGCGTGGATGAACGTGGACGAGGCGACGGGTGAGGAGAACCCAATGGCGGAGCACAGTGTTGGCGCGACCCCGGCCGATGCGCCTCACGACCGCGTGATCCTCCAGTTCTCGATCACGCTGCGCCCCCAGCTCAAGCGGAGCTGCCCACCGCTCCCCTCCTCGTGGCCTCACAGCAAGGGCTTTGATCCGCTCAAGGAGGTTTCGGCCTCGCGCGCCATCTGCTCCACACACGTCGGCGACGACAAGCTCTTCCTGACGAAGGCGTCTCCCGATGGGCCGATGGCCAAGGCTGAGGGCGCTACGTGTTCTTTCGCCGATGAGTGCGACTCGGGCCTCGTCTGTGGGTGCAAATGCCTGCCGGGCGCGCTCGACAAATCGATGTGCTCGGAGTGCCTCTGCGAGCGGGCAAAGTGCAGTGGCTGCGCCCATCGCCAGCTCGGAGAGGTCGGGGTCGGTGAGGCGCAGGTCCTGGTCGGCGAGTCGGCCCCAGCTGCGTGCCCGGAGGAGTGCCTCGCCAAGTGAGAGGTGCACCGCAGCACCCTGGCCAGTCAGAGACAGACACGGCCGTGTTGAGTATGTGTAGAGAAGTAGAATGAGCCTCGGAGAGGCTTGGGCTCGATCCCCCGCGCCGGCCACCGCCGCCGCGCGCCCGTTGTGTCTAATGCGTGTCGGTCCCGTGTGTGGCGTGTCTAATGGTAATGGGAATGGCTCTCGAAATCAGGACAGTTGGATCGCAACAGTCGTTAGTTAGTATGTAGACCTGTTCCGACTCTAATAGCGTCTCGGCGCGGTTATTACCAGACAAACACGACAACGCCCATACTCAAGTCTCACGCCCTATGGTAATTTTCTGCGCCGAGATCGCGTAATCCTCAAGGGACCGTCCAACCTCCGAAACCGAAGAACAACTGCTTGCCGTACCCCAGGTCCTTCATAGCCGCGAGGTTTGTCTTGTTGGCAGCGAGGTTCCGCAGCGCCGCCGCGGCCTGCTCCTTCTGCCCGTTCGTGCCGCGAGCCAGCGCCACCAGCGGCGCGATGCCGCCCACCTTTGCGATCGCCACCTGGTTGTCGGCGTTGTGAGCGAGGTTCGCCAGCGCCGCCGCGGCCCGCTCCTTCTCCCCGTCCGTGCCGTCGCGAGCCAGCGCCACCAACGTTGGCACGTCAGACAGGCTCGTGTCCACCTCCTCCTCCTCAGCCAACGCCTGACCCCGCTTCATCATCGCCGGGACGAGTCCCGCCGAGATCGCCTGCGCGTACTCCTCCTTCGCCATGCGCGCCGCCGCCACCGCGCTCGCCGCCGGCCGCGCCGCCGTCTTCAACCGGTTGTTCTCGCCGGCCTTGGCGTCATTCTCCGTCTCCCACGCGGCCAGTTCCACCTCGGCGCGCTTGGCCGCCGCCTCGCTCGCCGCCAACTCGTCCTCCAACAGCCTCGGGATGTCGCCAAAGGCAGCTTGCACCGTCGTGTCGAGCGCCTTGATCTTCGGTAGCTGCCCCTCCTTGTCGCTCTGGTTGGTCACAGTGACGTCGGGCTTGGAGAGGAAGGCGTGCGCCTGCTGCGGTGTCTTCGCCGCCCACATGTCGATAAGCGCCTTTTCGAATAGCGCGGATTGCTCGACTGCGTTCTGGATGCAGATGATGTGGTGCCGCTGGTTCTTGGTGCCCACCGCCGGCCTGAGGCCGTCAGGCATCGCGAACTGCATTGCGAGCCACGACTCAAACTGGGTCCAGAAGCGGGACACGTACGAGAGGTCGAGGAGAATGAGGACGGTGGTGCCAAGGTAGAGCCGGTTCACCTCCTTCAGCATCCCCTTGAAGGCGACCGTGTCCTCCGCGCTGCGTGAGCCCTTGGGCAGGTCCTGCGGCATGCAGGCCGAGTCGATCCAGAGGCGCTCAATCTTCTTGCCACCGGGCGAGTTGAGGAAGCCCTTGAGCGCCTTGAGCTGCTCGCCGTCGGGATCCGGATCGTCCGGCTGCATCCAGCCGGGGCCCGCCGGGGCGCCGTATGGGCCTCGGGGTGCCCGATAAGCTTAGATGTGCGAGTTTTTTGCTTGTGTCCCTTAGTTCATGACATGGACCGGCCCTGGGAAGCCTTTGACCGCTCGAGGAGGGTGTTACGGGGCCGTGCTGATTTAGCGGGTGGTTGACCTCATAATCGTCTGCGCTAGGGCAAACGGCCATTCGATCGAGACTGAACACCTCTCAGTAGGATCTTTCGGTGTGAATGGGCGCCAAGACGCACATCTCGGCCCAAGTACGCAGTAGCTGCAACAATTCGGGATTTTCAATTGACATCGACTTAAGTCGGAGCA